CCACCCACTCGACACGCACGTGCCACCCTATGATGGTCAGAAAAATCGCTGTCGACACCGGTTGCAGGTATACGAGAATGACAGCCAGACATGGGCACGACACCCAGAGGCTAGTCAGAGAGCTCGACGTCGAGCGCCCACTGATCTAAGACATGCTGTTCGTACAGCAGCTCGTCGCCTTCCCCTGTCTGACTGTCTGGCAAGAATGGGTTGAGGGCAAGCCATTCAGTGCGTGTCGCGTGTGCTGACAGAAGAAAGTCGGCCGCTGCAGAAAGCACCGGCAGTTTGTCCGATTGCAGCACACAGTAAGTGAACACAATTGGATGTGACCTGCGCCACAGACGATAACTAGAGGCATCAGGGGCAGTCACGCCATGCCGGCCGACAACTGTGTGCAGGGTGTCCCGAAGAGAGCGATACAATGGACAGGATGCAAAAATATGAGACTCATCCTCAATGGGAGGGCGGGTGATTGATTGCCCAGTAAGGCTCACGACAGATACAAGCAAGTCAGTTCTGTGCGAGCAAAACGGGCAGACGCTGCCCTCTCGCGGCCGGCCGAAGATGCGTCCATCCATGATGGCAGAAGGGTAGCAGCCCACACGAAAAAGAAACAGAACACGGCGCTTACGAAACGGCAGTAGAGCTGGACGTAATGCCAAGTTCCTGTCGTCGATGAAATTTTGCCTAGGGTATACTCCATCAAACCGTTTTTGCTCGGCTTCCCTTTCTCCCTCAGAGAGTTAGCCTGACGAGCATCAAGATCTGCCATGGGTGAGTGAGAGCGGCCCTGAATCGATACAATCACCGATGGAGGACTGCTCTCTGCTGCGCTCCATCATCTGCGAGGCCATGCACGCCCATGGACACGATGAACAGGTGACCCTGTTCCGCCTATTGGAGGCCTACGACAGGGTGCTGCAGCGAGCCGCCATTCACCCGCAGGGCGAGCAGGGCATCAGGCTGTATCGCATCCTGCTCCGGTGGGCACGGCAGCCTGAACGGGACTGGGCCACCCACTATCACGCCGACTTCCCGCACCAACCGCCCATCGTCGTGCAGCGCCACCAGGAGCCCTCCCACCCCCGTCGCCCTCCCCCTCCCGCCCCTCCACCAGCACTTTCTCCCCGAGTGTACCCCCCGCCCCTGCGGCCCTACCATTCAATGTCCCTGTCAGCCAGCCATCCGGTGAGCCGCCCACCCCTCACCCGCAATCGCAGCGCGTCGCCGATGGTCGGCCAGTTGGTGCGGCAGGTGGCACCTGTGGCGCCCCTTACCACTCTCACACCGACAGCCCCACCTCATGCAGTGCACGGCGGGCGACCTCTGGCTGCGGATCTTGTGGATCGCGCGCCGGAGGAGAGGGAAAGGGAGAATGCTCTGGCAAACGGGCAGGCGGATGCTTTCAGGGTAAGTTCGGGTGAATGGGTGGGTGGGTGATGGGTACCAATCTTCTCATTTCTGATTGCTGTCCCCTCCTTCGTGTTTGTGTATGTAGCGCGAGCAATTGCTGCTTCGGTCTCTGGGGAGCTGGCGCGGCCATCATGCGAGCACACTGGCGCTGCGTCACCGTCTGCAGAGTGCGCGGCAGCACCGCTCACATACTCTCATATACTGCGCCATGAAGGCGTGGGCGTGCCACACTGTCGCCAAGGGGGCGAGGCGGCGGAGGGCCGAGGAGGCGGCGAGGAAGCTACACGTCGTCCATGCCAAAGGGCGGCTCAGACAATGGGTGAGTGAGCCGTACGGTCGCTGACAGAGGGAGAGGGTCAGACAGGGATGAGACACGTACGGCAACACACCCACCCAATCCAAGCATCCTCTCTGTGCAATGGTGTCTGGCTGTCTGTCAGCATCGGTGGTCGTCTGTTCGCCACAGTCGCGGTGAGCGTCTGCAGGGGATAGTGAGGATGGATGGCACGCTGATGTTGCGGCGCTACTTCCGGCTGTGGCGGCGTGCATACCGGTCGCAGCGAGTGCGACAGATGGCCTGGCTGAGGTCATGCTTCGCTGAATGGAGATTCGTCGCCGCTCAAATGGTGCGTACAGGACTCACAGGACATCTCCATATGGCAAGCATGTGTTACCCATGCTTCTGTCTGTCAGCGTGCCATCCGGTCGGTCCAGCAGCCCTTCACCCGCATCCTCACCCTCAAGCGCATGCGGACGGCCCTCCACACCCTCCGCACCAACACGGCATCGCGCCGCAGAGCAGACCTGCTGCTTGTCAAGGCGCATACGCACTTCCGCAGACGCGTGCTGGCCCAGGCAGTGCGCGTGTTGGGTGGCCACCGTGAGCGGCGGGCGGTGCGTGCGAGTGAGAGGCGGCGTGAGGATGAGAGGGTCCGTAGGTGGCGGCTGGGCAGGGCCACCACCAGATGGAAGAGGTGTGTTATCTTATATATCCTGGGTGGGAGGGGCATGATGACAAAACAGACAAGACGACAACCAACTGCACTTTTTTCCTCTCACGTGCCACCCTTCATTGATTTCGTGTCGATATGTACCATGTGCTATGCAGGTGCGTGGCGTCACATCGAGCCATGATGTCCCGGTACGCCGCCATCTCTCGTCGTCGATCCCACCGTGAGCTGCGACAGTGCTTCATTGTATGGGTGGTGGGCTATCACCGCCCACATGTGGCAAGGAGACGGCGCCACGCGGCCATGGTACGGCAACTGGCGGCGATGCGTCTGCGGCGGCGGTGGGAGGCCTGGCGGACCGAATTCTGCTACCGTGTGCACATGGAAGCCACAGTACTGGTAAGCCTCGGTAGGTGTCGATCGAGAATGCATGCCACATATATGTATGCGTGTCTGGGTGGTGTCAGCGTGCGGAGCGTCGTCGTCTGAGTCGTCTGGCCCTCCGTGCGCTCGAGACGCACGTCAGCTACCGCAAGTGGACCAAGGCAGCCCACAAGGCGGCCTCACTACTCTGCCAGAGAAACAGGTGGGTGGGTGGGTGGGCACATGTACAAACATCACACAAGAAATACAAAGCAAATGCCCCCCCTCTCCCACCCTGTGGATCCATGCGTGCCTGTACGCACCTACAGGTGTCTGATGGTCCTCAACGCATGGCGCCTCATCGTGGCTGAGAGCCGCGCCGTCACGCCCCTCACCTCCCGCACACAGACGTGGGCCGCCATTCGATGGATACACCACACACAACACAAGCTCCCCTCACCTGCCAATGCCACCTCTGAGAGGCATGCGAAACGGCTGTCTCTCGGCGACTACGTGGGCAACCATGGGTGTGCGCTGGCGATGGTGCCGGCGTGTATGGGGGTGCACGTCGGCAGACTCAAGAGAATGGTGCGCGACGGCATGGAACATGTCGTCAGACAGGTATGGTCGGATAGAGGGAGAGCGGGCACACGACAACGGAGCGGGGCAAACACATCCATGGACGTTTCCTCATGCTGTTGCGTGTCTGTCTTCTCTTCCCCTCCCTCCGCTCACTCAGTCCGTTCTATCGCACGTGCTGTCCCGTTGGCGTGCATCGACCAGAGCCGTTAGGGCCTTCAAGCGAGCCGCCACGCACCGCTACGTCCGCCGCACCCTGCTCGCCATGCACACCCTTACACAGAGACGGCGGATGGCTCGGTACGTCTACTCCGTGAGGGCCATGCAGGTGGCCCACCGGATGCAGCACGAGTGCTTCGAGCAGTGGCGACAGAGGTGGGAGTACTTCACACACTTCCGTGACCGTGTGCGTGCCTTTCGGGCACATGTGGCGGCGAGGACGGTAAGGGGGTGCTTTATGGGCTGGCGGGTGGTGGTCGTCCGCAAGGAGGCACTGAGGATCAAGGAAACGTGAGCACACTGGCAGAGGAGAAATGGGTGGATGGGTGGGTGGGTGGGTGAAGTTGGTGGTATTCGCTGTGTGTCTGTCTGTCTGTGTGACTTGTGCAGCATGATGGTCAACCGGTGTGCGCATCGCATCATGAGGGCGACACTGCACCACATGATTCGGGCGTTCAGGGTGAGCGACCTGTGAACTGCATACAACGCAACAACGCGATAACCCATACCATTGTGTCTGTCTGTCTATCTGCCTGTCTGTGCATGTGTGCAGGTGTCTCAGCGTGAGAGGGCCCTAGTGGAGACCGCCCGTCTGTTCCGCAGACGCAGCTACCTGCGCAGAGCACTCACCGCACTCACAGCACTACTCAGGTCTGTCTGCACCAAATGCACCCGCCCCTACGGAAAGGGATGCATTGCACAATGCATTGCAATACGTGCCTCCGTCTCGGTGGTCGCAGGAGTGCTCGCCACGAGGGTCACCTGGATGAGGTTGCGGGTGCGGTTCGGCTGGTCATGGCCCTCCGGCATTGGCATCATGCGGCCAGGACCAGGCGGAGGTACCGATTGGCGCGTGAGGCCTTCAGGCGACGGCTGCAGAGGCGGGCGGTGTGCACCGCCCTCATCAGATGGGCACACATGGCCGCCAAACACAGGCGCCACACCACACTGGTAGGCCACATACATCCAGGCAAGTGACTGGTGGAGGTCATTCACTTGTTGACGTGACGTCATGTCCTTCTGTGCAGGTCCTGTACAGCGTGTCCAGGTGTCGCTCTCGCTGTCTCATGGATGCACTCACGACGTGGCAGCACTTGTATCGCCGCAGGAGGGTCCTCAGAGTGCTCGAGGCCCAGGCAGACACATTCCACAAGAGGTACGTCAATGCATCTACAACCGATAATGAATGCGATCCATTTGCCACACTGTCGCACTCATCTCAGGTGGTACATGCATCGCGTCTGGTGTTTGTGGCGGCGACGTGTGGAGATTTCCCACAGGCTGGTGGCCATCCACCGTCTGTTGCAGGGCGCCTTCAGCCGAGAAGCCATCAACACATGGGCTGACTGGACCACTGCTGCCGAACAGGTACCCAACCGGCAACCGCATCATCACCCCTCATCGAGCCTCTTGGCTGCCTTGTTTCCCTTGCCCTCAGCACGAGGTGCGCATCCATGGCGTCCTGCTGGTCCGCCGGTTCCGCATGCTGATACACAAGTGGCACACCATCGCACGCCTCCCGGCCATCCAGGCGCAGGCTACCGCCGCCACGAGAGCCATCCGTATGCAGGAGGGCTTCACGAGGCTGCACACGGCCGCCAGGGCTCACCGTGCTGCCAGGGGGGCCTCCCATCGGCTGCAGACGTGGGCGCACCGCTATCGCATGCGGCTGTTCTTTGACACCCTGGTCTACTGGCGGTCATACCGACAGCGGTGCCGGGCCAACGCCATCGCCATCGCACAAAGCCGCGATCGCAAAGAGGCTGGGAGGGCAATGGAGGCGTGGCGCCACAGATGGGAGCAGAAACGCCGTCTGAGGGCCCTGCTGTCCCGTTATGTGGGGGAGAGGAGGGCGCACCGGCAGAGGGATGCGATGCGCAAGTGGAGGTTTCGAGTGCGGGTGCTCGGTGCACTGCGGCGGTGTGCCGAGAGAAGGCGAAGAAATGGTCTCGCGCTCTGCGTGAGCGCCTGGGGTGGCGTGGTGGCGGAGAGACGTGACGAGAGGGCGAGGCGGAGGCGCATCGAGGGGCTTGTGGCGAATCGCAGACTGGCCGACACATGGGACGAATGGAGAAGCAGATTTCTCAACGCAAGACGGTAACCAACGAGGAAGACTGGACGGACAGAGACCAGTTCAATGAAGAAATCTCATGTTGCCTTTTGTTCGTCCAGTGTCCGTCTCGCCATCGCCGCCAGTGACGCGAGGCGACGCCGCACCCTCCTCCATACCGCCATCCACACATGGTACTCCCCCCATCACGCCACACAGACAAATGTATGTATCAGCCTATCTCCCTGTCCGTGTATGCATTCCCTTCTCGCCTGTCTACTGCAGGCACACCATAGCGTCCAGACGACGCCTGACAGCCGCTCGCGGGGCCATGGTGGCATCCATCCACGCGCAGCGGCGGCTGTGTTGTTCCTTTGCCCAGTGGGTGGGTGCGGCTCGCACCCTGGTGGCGTGGCGTCAGGCCGCCCACCGGCTGAGTCGCCTCTGGCGCGGGGCCAGGCTGCGACGGGCCATCGTCACCTGGGCACACGAGGAGAAGTATATCGGGCTCCTACAGTCTGCCGAGCATCGTCTGCTGGCCGAGTATTGCCGCCGTCTGCAACGCCGCGCCCTCCAGGCATGGACCACCCACGTGACCATCCGGCACTCCAAGCGGGCAGCCAACATCCAGGCCGACGCCGTCGCAGCACGGTTCGCCGTCCGTCGTCACCTGATAGCGTGGCTGAGCTGCCTGGCCGACCGCATTTCAGCCCGGCAGAGGCAGTCGCACTTTGACGACCGGTCCAGGGGCTATCTGCTCCGGCGTGTGCTGCGGGAGTGGCGGGGGGCTACCATCACAGCCAAAGAAAGACGCAGCCTCACCGGTAAGCTGGAAAGGGGAGAGAGAGCCACCTACTTTCATGGAAGAATGTATCTGTGTTGGTGTCCGGTTCTTTGTCTGTCAGATCTCCTTCGGCGTTTTCTCCGCCAGCAGAGTCTCAAGTCCGCCATCCACTGCCTCAAGCGCAACCGTGATACCAAGCAGACCTTCCGCATGCACATCCAGCGGGCCATGACGCCCATCCCACTGTCCCTTCCCATGGTGCCGCCCCCCACTGCCCCCCCCGGCAAAGACAAGGGCGACCGAGCGGCCATCACAGTGAGCGCCGCATCGACGTCGGCGCTGACAAAGGACAGCACACATGACGACAGAGAGAGGGACAAGGAGGGAGAGGACCAGCAGCACCACCAGCAGCAAGGCCAGGTTGTGAGGGGGAGGCGTGTTGTCAAGCCGGGGGGGAGTGACGAGCTGCTCGAGAGGCTCGCCAACACCAGACGACTCAGATGGGCGTTTGCCGCCATACGGTGGGTGAGACAATTTGTCATGGATAATGAATGCATACCCATGTCTGCGATCTCTCGTGCATCCTTAAGTGCCTGGTGGTCCCTTGTAAGGGAGGAGAACGGTCGTCTGGCCACCTTGGGCGACTCGTTGGGCAAGTTCCACCGGTTCCGTGTGCAGGGCGGCACCTTCTACGGGTGGCTCCAGCAGACACTAACCTCACGACAACGGGGGCACACCATCAGGCGGCGACACGATGAGGGCAGGCTGCGGCGGGCACTGTATGGGTGGTGTGGGGTGCGGCGGGACGAGAGGGAGAGGGAGGGGGCGGCGGACCAGATGAGGGAGAGACTCCTGGACCAGGCCGCCGTGAGAATCATGTTCACATGGAGAGCCGCTGCAAGGTCAGGGGGTAGGTGGGTCAAGGAAGGATGCATTGACACAAGTTCCATGCAGTGGTCCTATATGTTTGTTGCCTATATCTTGCGTAGGCATCGCATTGTTCTGCGTGAGGCGTCCCATGTCATAGCTTGCCGGCACCATGCCTTGCTCCGTCGGTGGGTGTGGCTGCTCTGGCGCGAAGCAACCCTATTCGCCATCATGGAACGACAAGTGAGCGGCGCAACACCATGAATGATGCCAAACCATAGATGTATACCATTGTCCGTTTGTTTGTCCTTGTATGTGGTGCAGGCATCTCAGCGTCACATGTTCACGTTGCAGGGTCACATCCTCCACTCGTGGCGGGATGCGGCCACACGTCTGCGCGCCCTCCGCCACACCCGTGAGGTGTTTGACCGTCGTCGGCTAGGCCGCATGTTTTCTCTGTGGCGTGCGATGCACATGCGGCGGGTGCGGGAGCGTCGCGATTGTCGGTGCATCGTGGGTCGGTGGCGGATATGGGCGAGGATGCGCCGAACTAAGCGGTTCCTGCTGACCCACCTGCTGACCGACAGAAGGGTACGTGTTGGGGGAGGCAGGGAGGGACAAACATCCACCCGTCAATCTCTCATCCATTTATCCATGCGGTGGTGGTGGAACCTGTCGTGTTTAGCTGGTGACGGTGACGCAGTCGTTTCGTGCTTGGTATCATCTGGCCCTGCTGTTCAGACAGAGACGGTAAGCAAGACAGACGCGTACCCATTGCAACGCAAATCATCACCATACACTTTCCCATTCCTCTGCTCTGCTCTGTCTGTCTCCACATGCATGTATGTCCCCATCAGTTATTTCCAGGACCGCATTCTCTCCCGCCCCCTTGAGGCATCCTTCAACGCCTGGCGAGCGCACATGCGACACATTCAGCTCAGCCGACACGCAGTCATCCAAACCTCACACTGTAAGGCAAGCAAGCGGCTGCAGCGCACGGCCTTCCACGCGTGGCGACTCCACACCCATCTGAGTGCGTTCGTCCGCCGACACGCCCACCGCCGCATGAGTGAGCTGTTTGCCGTGTGGCGCCGCACACACGTGCTCGGGACGAGGCTTTCGAGGGCGGTTGGGGGTCAGCAGAGTCGCATCAAGGCGTGGGCGTGGGATGCGATGCGGCGGTGGGCACAAAGACGGGCTGAACGGATGAGGCGAAATGCACTCGCTGCACACAGGTGGGTCGGCGGGTGGGTGAGTTTGAGTGGTTCGGGTCACCTTCATGGATATGTGTTTGGTCACGTGCAGGTGTGCGTTGCGCCGTCGGCGGCAGGCGTGGGTTTTGTGGCGCCGTGAGTACGACCTGCGACACATGGAGTACCGCATTCGGGCCAACACCAGACGACGCACACTCGCAAACATCCTCAGGGTACCTGACTGCCCAGAGATAATACATGGAAAAGACAATGCTCTCCCCGCTTGGATATCCTTCTCCCTTTCCACTTGTATGTATTCAGTCGTGGCACTCATGGAGTCTCTCCCGCATATGCGCCCGTCTCGCAGGCCACCAGGTCGCCCGCAAACACAACCACCTTCTCGCACGCCACTCATTCACAGCGTGGAAGCGACGCACCGGCACTCGCCTTGTCATCCGCTCACGCATACGCAGCCGCATCGACGCGCGCCAGTGTCACCTGTTACGGGAGGCGTTGCAGCACTGGCTTCGAGGTGTGTTGGGGGTGAGGTGGGCGGAGACCATGCAGAGATGGGACGAGGGTGTGCGGCTGATGCTCGTGGCGAGGGGCATGGCGCAGCTGAGGGACCTGGTGGCCATGGACGTTCACATGCAGCACCTGGCGCAGAGGGCACCATGGCTGAGGCAACAGATGGGCGAGCTACTCAGGTGATACATGAATGAGGTCCACAACTGCTGTACATGACGCATGCACCCTATGTCAGGATTGACCAGAGGAGACTCGCCGACGCCCTGCACGCCCTCCGTACCCGGGCCTTCCGTGCGGCTCTCTGCCGTTCTCTCACCAGCCGTGCATCGGACCACTACACACGCCTTGCGCCCTCTCGCGCCATCTGTCGGTGGCACCAACGCACCGATGTGAGGCGGCGAAGACGGCAGCTGTCGGCCTGCCTGGTGCGCATCAGCGGTGAGGCCTGGCTGCGGCGCGTTGTGTGCGAGTGGAGGGGGGCTTCCATACGGCTGAGAGGTGTGAGGGATGGTGTGGAGCGACGACGGCAGGAGAAGCAGCAGGTCGTCATGCGGGGCGTGTTGGCACACTGGAGGGAGCGCATTCGGCACTTTACTGTGGGGAGGCGACTGATGGAGAAACAGGTATGGTAAAACAGGTATATCAGCACGATGATCCGTGGAAAAGGGGCTCTTTGTGTCTTGTATGCTCTTGATGGCACGCAGCTGCGAGTGTGTGCGCATTGGTCGATGGCCCACGGGTTCCATCGATGGAGAAGATCCCTCGAGGTAGCGACCCAGAGACGTCAGGTGGCCCGCAAGGCCCAAACCGCCGCCATACGCATCATACGCATCAAGGTAATGCCAGCAACGGAAAGATGAGACATCCAAACCGATGCATCTTACTCATTGTCCGCGTCTCTCTCCTCCTCAGCAACAGCGCGCTCTGGAGCATGCCAGAGCCTTTGTATGCCTGCGTCACGCGGCCAAGAGCATGCTGCTGCGGGCCTCACACCAGCGCACCAAAGCCCTCCTCACAGCATGGAGGCGCGCCACAACAGTCAGACGTCGCCGTGCAGACATCGGTGCCACGGCTGCCCGTCAGTGTGCGGCGAGGCGTGTGAGGGGCGTGTGGAGGGCGTGGCGGGAGCAGTTCGTCCACATGCAGAGGCTCGCCTCACTTGCCGATAACATGAGGGCACAGCGGGAGGCAAAAGAGCTCGGTACGTGACCAAAGACACCACACGCAATGATGGACTGTCCGATGTACACACTCGCGGAATGCTTGACCGGGCGCGTGTGGTTCTCAGGCGGTGTGTTGGAGGTGTGGGGGAGGTGGGCGAGTGCGAGGAGGGAGGAGAGGGACAGGCTGGGGGCCATCGCAGCCCACGTGAGGGCGCGACAGGTCGTGTCATCGGTCAGCAAAATCTTCCTCACGTGGCGACAAAGGGCTGAAGAAGTGGTCAGCGACCCACCCGCAAAGGGAAAAGGGACATACACTATAGCACACATGCCTCACTTGTCTCTCCTCTCCCCTTGGTGTTTCAGCTGTGGCATCGACGTCGTTCCCGCATGCTGCTGGTGTTCTCTTCATGGAAGATGTACACGCGAGAGAAGAAGCTCCTGCGCAAGTACCTCCACGACACCATCAACAACAGCTCGTCCTCAGCCTCATCTCTCCATTCGCCATCCCGCATGCTCTACAACGTCACACCCACTCCCCGCCCATCAGCGCGTGACAGGGAGGGCGACACCTGGCGGTCGCCCCTCGCACTCCCCTCGGCTGGGACCCCACGGTTGGCATTCAGGAGGCTCTCCCCGGATGCTCAGCAAGGTACGTAGCCAGGTCTACATCCATTTTCTTCGCATGTGTGGCTTGTCGTCATTTCTGTGTCTGTGATCGGGTAGGTATGAGCGTGGTGACGTCCGATCCGGCATCGTCTTATCGTCGGTCGCCCGTGGCGTCCCCCACTCCGCCTGTGGCTGCCCTGCCCCCTCCCTCACACGCATTTGCCGCCCTTGCGTCAGCGGTGCGCATGCCGCCGCCCGCCAACAGGACGCCCCCTCCCCTCCCACACGGCCCCTCCCCTCCCGGCTCCACCGCATCCAACCTCTGGCGCAGCGAGCTGTCCAGCCCCGTCCCACCATCCCCACGTATCCATGCCCTCCCCGCACCCACACCCAGGACCAGCACCCCACTACCCATCCATGGCCATCTGCGTGTGCGTGAGGGGCCTCCTCCTCTGCTATCCAGTTCTTCGCCCGAGCCGCTCGTTCGGTCATCGGAGCTGTCGGCTAGTCTGGCGCTGCTGAAGCGTTTGGAGGCCCAGAAGAAAGAAGGGGCAGTGGCCGAGGAGCACACGCCGCCACTGGTCAAAATGCTGCTCAACAAGGGGCGGGACGGCCATACTCGTGCCAAGAGCGCCAAAGGTTCGCCTTTGCAGGAGGGTGAGGGCGGCGGTGTGGACGTGGGCGTGGCGGTGGCCAGCCCGGCAGCTCGGTCGCCCTGGAGCGACCCAGGGCTGCCGCAGAGGATAGCCGGGCACCTTGATTGATGCCTTGGTGGATTGATTGATTGTGCCCAGCGAGATCTCTTGCTGGTCGCCCAAATGTGGCATCAAGAAAAGGACTATATGGGTGGGTGGGTGGGTATGAGACGCGTATCTGTGTGTTGTCCTATTTGTATGTATCGCCCCTTGTATAGAGCACACATGCACTGGCATGCAAGTTATTAAAACTCGCAAAACTCGCTCATGATGCATGACTACATAGTGCTCATCACGCACAAGACACATGATGGGCTCTCCTCCCGGCACCTATTTCCCATTTGAGGTGTGCTCAGGGACGTCCGACGCGCTGTTCTGCTTGTCCCTCTGCTTGTCGTGCAGGCTGATTGACTCATCGTCTTCTACCTTCAGCTCGAGATCTGCCGCTTTGGCGTCGTGATTTCCCGACATCGCACCTACCACAAATGTACCTGAGGTGAGCACAGAGCCAGAGCGAGAGAGGGGACGGACAGGGCGGGAGGGAGAGAGGGAGGGAGAGGGGGAGAGGGAGGCCAACATCACACACACACATCCATCCATCCATCGATCCATCCATCCATTGATCTCTCTCTTGGTCTCTCTGTCTGTCTGTCCCTTACCTGCAGTATTTAGCTCATTGTTTGTTGCCGTTCCCGTCGCCGCTGGACGCCGCCCAGCCCTCACATTTCATAGTCTTTTTCAATCCCGACTGTTGAGAAAAACACCGGGACCTCAGTAGTGTCCCTAGGCCTGTGTTTGTGGTTTCCGCAAGGATCGCTCTAGAGAGCGCCTTTGAGCCGCCTTCAGAGCCGATCAGCTCTGGACCGATAGATGGATGGACACACACACACACACAGAGAGAGAGAGAGAGAGACCGTGCGACTTTGATGAGACTGTGCGACTTTGATCTCCAGCCTTGTTCGCTGCTCTCACCCAGCTGAGCCGTCAGTAGCTGCTCTCACCCAAGCGGACGACGATTGTTGTAACAAATGTATATACACTGATTGAAAGATTCTCCTCGATGATCTTCTGAGACGTCATTCATTCAATGTTTTCCCCACATCTACAGATAGGCTTCGTTGCCTTCAAATGCCTCATCGGGGAGATGTTCTCTCCACTGACACGTTGCATCATGAATGGCTACAGACGTCGACGCGTCGCCTCCGGTTCGCTCCGTAGGTGAAAATAGAAGAGGCGAACATTATACACTAGTCTTCGGGGTAGATGGATGTCGTCCGAGAGAGAGGCGAACACCTACAAATCCGGCACCTATCTTGCCTGAGCCCTGCCGTTGATGCGGATTCCTCAAAGAGACTTCAGGTGTACCCGTGGGGGATGCCGCGCTGACGGCAATCTTTCGAAAGGGCTACAATGAATGCTCTTGCGAAGACAGCGCCTTCGACCCGCTGGTCTGCTGTTGATGAAGCGATTTGTGAAGAACGTATCGCCGGCGGCCTTGGTCTATGCCCAGCCCGCTACGCTGTTCGTGTCGGCTCTATGCCGGCTGCATTCTTTCACTTTTTCATTTTTTCAATGGTCTGATGAGGATTATGCGCTTTCCCTCACCGCCCAGCCCGATCTGTCGGCTTCATACATGCACGCGTGGACGCAACTCCCTGGTGTCTCACTTTCTAGCTACTCAGCCCTCCCCTGCGAACTTAAGCTTGTGTCCCTTGATGGGTTACCAACGGACGGACAGTCACTGACACATCCATCAAATGTGTCGGTGGTCGTCTGCTGCCGTATGGATGGACAAATCAGTCATGTCTCGGGCGATGTCCTCATGCAATGAACTCGCCGACGCATCTATTGACCCTTCCCCGCCTGCCTGGTCTGCTGTTGCAATGAGCAACCTACTGGAGGAAGCATGAGTGGCGGCGTTGTAGTCCATGGCCGATCCGCTACCTTTGTATCGATGTGATGCGGCATGTATTTCCGCCTCCTAATACATTTTCGTTTCTTGTCGGCTTCATACATGTACGTGTCGATGAGCCATCTGGTGTCTCACTCAAGCTGAGACTTAGCTCCAATTCAGCTCTCCCCTTGCGAAGGTGTGCCATTAAAATATTATATTATTATGATGCATGATGCATAGGCCTTCATGGGATCAATGGACAGACAGACACTGACACATCCATCAAATGTGTCGGCGGTCGTCTGGCACCCCGTTAAAGCGTCCTCCCTTTTTTCATCTTTACTTGCTGATTTTTAAAATTACTCCTTCGATTTTTTGAGGGCTTTGGGAAGTGTCAAAAAAAGAGATAGAGGGAGAGGGCACAGAGGGGGGTCAGGAAGGCGAAGCTTTTCGGTTTCCGCCCGCGAAAAATGGCTATTTTTGCTGCCGAAAAAAGCGCTCGGCACATCACCGAGACAGCGGAAACGTCGAGGAAAATAGTTGATTGATTGATTAATTGATTAATTGATTATTTGATAGTTGATGTACGTACCATCCCCGACTGTCTGTCTCTGTAAATGAATGTGGTGCCTCTGCCGACACTGTCTGGCACTGTCTGGCTGTTTGTCTGTGTGAATTATGTATGCATGTCTCTATGTGTTGTTGTGTAATTCTATGTCTGTCGTCTGTGTGCGTGCGTGTATGTGTGTAAGTGTGAAGGCAAAGTTCGATGTGTGAAGGACATTGGTTTACGAGAGAAGAACATGGCAAAGAAGCTGTGATTCAAATTGTGTGTTCACTGGTGTTCCCAGATATGCAACTCAAATTTTCTGAATATTTTCCTCCTTTTCTTGCGTTGGCGCGTAGTGCGAGTATGTGTGTGCGTGGTGGGCGGCGCCGCTGGAAGATACGTCAGGCGGGCGCTGAGGATGGTGCTGGCATGTTTGTCGCATGATTGAGGGTTGGTCGATGTTGACGCAGTTCGTTTTCATGAGAGACCGACAGACTCCGCCTGCTGTTGCGCTATGAGTTAACGTATTTCCCCCCTTCCCTGATGTGAAGGTGTTTTCCCTTCTTCTTCTTCTTCTTCTCTTCTTCCCGTTTGCGTTGCTCCGGTGCGTCCCATTTGCGGTGCTCATCGGATAAAAATGCAACTGGGCCTGACGCTTCTGCTGTGGCTCGCCCAGTGGGTAAGAAGCGTCCGATCGGGGTTCGTTACTAGCCGTTTTTCTCTGTTCGCTTCCAAGCTATGTAGCTTGACACACTGAAGCAAGGCGAGTCAGTGAGGTTGGTTGGGAGAGATTCCCTTCCGTAGAAGCGCTCACCGCGCCCATTGGCTTTACTCAGTGACGTGCTGACTCTGACTGCCTCGTGAAGGATGGTTGGGAGCGTGCTTGAGATCGGAAGGGCCACCTCGAGATCTGCTGGAGCACACGCAACGTGACTTCAAGTGACGTCTTGACGTGTCCAAGCAGAACCGCATCGAAATCAGCTACAGAAAAGGTTTAACCCGAGAGCACGTCGGAATATACGCGCAAAACGAAACCCCCCAATTTTACGAGGGTGTTGCGCCTTTACAGCAAAAGCTTTCGGCCTCCTTTTTTATCACCCAAAGGCTTACTAAGGTCTTCGCGGGACTCCAACCGCCCACCTTCACTCCACGCCAGGTCCGCCCATCCGTCCCTTCTACGGTCTAGCCACATCTCCCCCCGTTTCTCCCTCTTGTGCTGTCTGTCTGTGTGCGTGTGTGTTCCTGTTGTCCTTTTGCTGTTGTCGGCGCGGCAGGCCAATGCATCCCGGCGTGCCCAGATCACTGGTCCTCCTCGGCCTCGTCCTCATACTAGGCTTCTCGTCGGCGGCAGTCGTTGTCTCCCGACCAAACAACACCAGCCGCCCACGCCCTTCCCGTTCCTACGGCGCAGGTGTGTCCCTGCTGACTTCAAATGCCCTGGATATTTCCTCGCGAAAGAGTCGGCTCACCTCCGCGACAGATGGCGGTCAGCTAGGAGCAGATGATGGCAAAACTTCTTCACTTAGCCAGTTCGTTCTCGGTCCATCTCGCCCGACCATGGAGCCTAAGCAGAGCATGGAGGCGTACATGGACCCGTATCCCAAGTACAAGAAGTATCGACACCGCAAGGGCGGGGATGACTATGACGAGCATGATGATGACGACGAGTATTCCAAGTACAAGAAGTATCGACACCGCAAGGGCGGGGATGACTATGACGAGCATGATGATGACGACGAGTATTCCAAGTACAAGAAGTATCGACACCGCAAGGGCGGGGATGACTATGACGAGCATGATGATGACGACGAGTATTCCAAGTACAAGAATCGAAACAAAGCCAAGCACCGCGCGATTCACGAGGTTTCTAGAAAGACATTCGACTGTTCGTCAAATTGCGGTCTTCGACTGCTGCGATCAGGTATACAAGAAGCATCTCCGCGCGTCGTTCCTTGCATAGTGGACGATCCGCATTTGTCTTATGCAAGCTGGCGAACCAAGATTTCGGTCACTCCACTCGCACGAGACATAGGTCGACTGACGTGCCGATAAGAACTTAAGAGTAGGGAAGCAATAATGGAACGCTTCGATGTGTCACTTATACGACAAATCCTTTGTTAATATATCCTGAACGATCCATGTCGAAATACGGACACTTCACGATGTCGAGGGCCGATAATATCATAAATGAGAAGTCCCACATACAACAAACAAAACAACATCACACGCCGTCAAATCTACCCATCTACAATAAGGTGGGTTCGTGCTCGTCTGTCTGTTGCCTTGGCGCGTAGTGCGAGTATGTGTGTGCGTGGTGGGCGGCGCCGCTGGGAGATACGCCAGGCGGGCGCTGAGGATGGTGCTGGCATGTTTGTCGCATGATTGAGGGTTGGTCGATGTTGACGCAGTTCGTTTCATGAGAGACCGACAGACTCCGCCTGCTGTTGCGCTATGAGTTAACGTATGTCACACCCATCTACAATCCATGCGTACTGTCTACCGTGGCTGTTCATAGATTGTACGTTGACGAGCGCTGACTAGAAACGTTTGTACGCATTGTTTTGATAGAATGTACAGACGTAAAATATATAAATACATATTAGACACTACGTTGACGGATGCATGGTCTTGAATGGTCGGGAAGGAGAGACACTGGAAGCGTGGATCGACTGGAGGACCTTCGCATCAATGCAGTGCTCACCTGTTCGACTTGGTTGAATTGCGCAATCCACATTCAAGTTGCATCAAACAATTAGGAAGCCCCAAATCGCGAGAGAGTGGATCAATGGCTTGTTCTAGATGAGACATGAAAAGACGCTCACATGACATCAAATCATGGTTCACAATCACGGGAATCATGAGAATGAATCGAAAGTTTTGTTGCACAAGATACAAAATCAGCATTGATTGAAAAGTTTGTTCGTTCTTGTTCTACTACACGCACAGGGAGACACGTGCACAGAATGAGGCATTTGAAGGCCACGTTAGTATCCAGGATGGCTCTGCAGACTTCCCTGAGACGCCCTGGCTGGTTTCCAGGTGTGGATCATCAGTTGTTCTTGTCGAGAGACAATCTGCATTAACCGTAAAACTCGTCTGTGTGTCCGTGACACTCGGCTTTTGGACTGTCTGTATCTATTATTTCATTCGGATCTCACACCACCCCGTGCAAGCCTCCTCCCCTGATCGCACATTTTTTAAAACGTCTCAAAGGTGTCAAAACAATATTTAGAAAAAAATATTTAAAACAACGCAAAAAATGAAAAATTGAGGAGAAAAACCCGCCAAACAAGGGACACATTTAAAAGCCGCAAAAAAGGAAGGAGAAAACTACGAATCTGGTTTGCCTGCCTCTTCTCCCTCCATCCCCCCCCCC